CATCCGATCCCTGACACTGCTCAGTGCATGTCACGCACCCAAGGAGGCCAAGTACAAATTAGGTGGAGTGAGAAAGTTCTCTGTGGACGCAAAAGGAATCCATCGCCTGCTGAGCCCTGGAGCTCCTGCAGTTCCTCATCCTGACCCCTGCATCAAGATGAGCGATGCCACGCAGGTCATCTGGGGAGTGGCACAGTCCCTGAGGTCATCGAGACCTACACAAGAGACCTGCGTGTGGCGGCCAGAGACATGGGAAGCACTGGTGTGAGCCCGGACAGGAGGACTCGCTGGGCTCATGTGACATGGTTCATGTGAAGGGCGCCGCCAACAGCTGCTCGGCTGCTGAGCCCTCCAGCTGGCAAAGGGCAGCAACGCTCAGCTGTCTCCTGGAACTGGGACCTGCTTCAGTGTTGCTGCAGAGCGAGGCGAGCGGGCAGTGGGCAGAGTCTGGATGACGGGGGAGAGGGGCAGCCTCTGCATGTAAAGAACACTGCATGCTTAACTACTGCTTTTAATTACTTTTAATGTGCTTTCAATCCCTTCATTTTTCTTGCTTCTTTGTATAACTAGCGAGAAATCCATCAAAGTGCATCTCTAGTAGTCGGGTAAGTATCATATGAGATTTTTATTTATATTTATATACATTCGCTTGCACACTCACACACCTGTACTGGGGACTAATGAACAATTGACTTATTACAGGCTACAGTTACATAAAAAATGCAGCTCACTGCCTTGGATTAGTTATTGTCATAAATCTTTGGAATACAAGAATTATCTCTATTTTAAAAATAAAACCACAAGTGAGTTAAATAATTTGCCTCTGATCCTGTGGCTGGGTAGTGGCTGGGCCTCAATTTAATGTAAAGGTTTGGACCTTTGAGAAAGGATTTTTTTTTTCACTTTATTAAGAAAAAAAAAAATAGGCCAGGAAGATAGCTCAGTAGAATAAGCGCTTGCCTGGCAAGCACAAGGGCCTGAGTTCAATCTCAGGTTCCCAGCAAAAAAAAAAAAAAAAAAGAGAGAAAATAGCAATGAAACAATTTCAAAACAGGTTAGTAGGACAGTTACAATGTTTAATACATTATATATTGTCTTCGTAGTAATTATTCAGAGGACAAGATGCAGACTTGAAATCTTGTCTAAACAATATCAGTACAAACCTCAATGAAATAAGAGAAAGTTGCTGTATATCTATTCTAACTATCTTGTGTATACATATTTTTTCTTTTTTTTTTTTTCTGCAACAACACGATCTTTTATTTACACTTTTGCAAAGTTACAAACACGTGATACAAGGTTGCCTAGTGGCTAATAGCTGACCCTAACCAGACAGGATGTTTATCTCAGGACTAAGGTAGCTTGTTGGCTTTAGGCACCGATGCCTAGTCCCACCTACACACATTTGATCCATTTCCTAGCCTCCCTGGCTCCCTATATATATATCCCCCTTTTTTTGTTTTATTTTGCCAGAGATGAGTGTTCCATGGCTGTTAGAGAAGCTGTATTTGGAGAAGTCTTTAAAGGACCTTTTCATATTTGATGCCAGTTCAAAGATTGTAGGTACTTGGATTAAGCAAAGTAACCCAATATAGGCTAATAGTCCATAATAGTAGTGAGTTATCAGCACAACTGGCAATTGTCAGAAGTTGTTGACTTGAGCCTTTTGCAGCTCAGCATACTAATATAGCTTTACTTTTAATACCTCGTGGTTACACTTTTCTGCTTGATGGTTAAGGCCAAGTTGAAGCAAGACCTGCATAACTAAAAATGTGACTTTTGCTGTCTGACAAGGTCAGTCAAATCCCCTCAGGATTTACCCAGGAACCATGTACAGCACCTTGTAGATCTTTTGTCATTGTCAGCCATCTGGATGAGTCATGGCCATTGACCAATTTGCTCTCTGTGACCATGTCTTACACACACACACACACACACACATACAGACACACACACACACACACACACACACACACACACTGAAATAAAGTCACAAGAAGCTTTAGGCTAGGGACACCAGAGGCCTGACTGCAGTCACCTCAGGAATCCTGACCCAGTGTGGCCAACTGCAGACTCCCTGAGGCCATGAAGATACGATGGCCATGGTCAAACCCTTCTTCATATCATAGTTGATGAGCAACTAGTCCTTGTCCTGTGCTGCTCTTACCCATCAAGGCGGTAGTGCCACCACACTGCTGCAGCTTCCTTTCTTGTGCTTCTTTACCTAGCAAAATTCAGCTCCCAGAGATGCCACTTAGGGACCTGAACTTCAGCTGCCTAGAGTTTGTGTGCAGTCTCCTACTGGCTCAAGCAAATTCTTGGCTCTCACCCTGGTGAGCTTCAGCTGGCCTTGTTGTTGGCCCCTAGAACCACCTCTTTGGGCCGTTTTGATGTTTGGTTGTGAGGGAAGGAGAGTCTGGGCCCCTAGCGGACACCTGTGGTTGACTAGAACTCAAGCAGCCCCCTTCCTGGTGGGAGAGCTCCAAGAAGACTTCCCAGCCACGGGCCAACTCCGGCTGCTGTCTGCCCCTGCCCAAGGGCCTGGCACGTAGGAGAAGCCCTGTGGCCCAGAGCCCCCTTCTGTTCGTGCCGTTGCTCCAGGAATACTGAGTGGACAACGCCTTTGTTAACAAGACCTGTTTGGGTACTATGACTACCTTGGCTGGAGGATGGGGCATTCACTCCAAATTTTAATCACTGGGTAAGAGTTCCTCTCTTTCAGTGGGCTCATCTATCACAAAAAAATCTTTTGCTTTCACCATTGACAATGTGCTTATTTCCTGTGGCAAAACTGTAACTCATTACCACGTCTGTGGCAAGCACAGCCACCTCACCGCAACGCTTGGCGCGGTGTGGGGAGAAGGATGCTCTCGCAAGCCCCGGGTGATGCAGGCAGCTGGGCCCGCAGCTCGAGAGTTTCAAACGTAGGAGACCGGGGGATTAATTCTGAATAGCTGCAAGCACGCCAGTGCGGATGCCTGCATGGTCACTAATGGCTAGCGTGAGAAGTGAATTAGATAGAAAAAAAAAAAAAAATGAAACAAAAAGCAACAGAGAAGAACACGAGTGTTCTTGGGAATGCCCTGCTCTGTAGGCATTCAGTTAGTTCTTGTGGAAGAGGCTGCCTGAGTTGCATTGATTGTGAGTCCCACTTTCTCTTCGCATCAGTAGCCATATGTTTTATGCCAATGTTTATCTTTTAGCCTTTTTTCTGAAAAACATGAAATGCCAGTGCGTGTGTGTCTGTCTCATCTCTGGCTCACTTATGCGTGTGTGTCTTCAGTTCTGTGAATTCGCCTTCACTTACCGCATCGCTCCTAGGAGCTCCCAGAAGAGGGACCGCTGGTCCTGCTGGCCTGCCTCAAAGGGGGTGTGAAGAGATGCTCATAGCTGGATTACTAGGGTGATTGATTTATTTTCTTATCCAGCCGTGGCACTGGCTATATTGCACATTAAACATACTATTGACATTTGTCCTTCCAAAGCCCCTCCCAGGTGAGACACATACAATCGATCATTCCCGTTTTGCAAAGAGGAAGCTGAGCAATCTATGCACCACTGTTCAGGCCACCGTGGGAGGCCCGGGCCTCGACCCCTCAGCGTGGTGGCCGGCGGTGTGCTCCGCCCAGCAGCAGCCCACGCTCCGTCGTCTCTCTCCACACAGAACTCGGCCCACAGCCTGTGGCTGTGACTCCTGCTTCAGGCACTGCTCGGATACAGCTCTCAACCACATCCATGCAGGGTGCCTGGCATGAGGTCCGGAGCCGCCTGCTCCTCTTCAGGATTTCTACCACATATCAACTGGTTGCCCAAGAGTGAGAGAAGTGCCTGCTATTTCCAGCACAGCTATATTCATTTTATATAATTCTCAGCAGCAGGAGGAAAGACAAGGGCTTGCATGACAGCACTGATTTACTTCAGCTATCCCTGCAGGGGTCACTTACTATAGAGAGAAGAACTTCTCTTATTCCTGCCAGTTGAGCTAAGACTTGTCCCCAGCACACGGAGAAGTCTCATAACTGCCCACATAATTCATAGCTCCCACCTCTGTTTTGTCCCCTTGGATGTCACAGGTAGATGAGAGAGTAACAGGGCTCCAGATAAGGATTCATGGGATGAGGAAAGGATGAAGCTTAAATTACACTAAAGACATTCTCAGTGTTTGGGACCTCAGCTTTGGGACTGCTCTGGAGGAACTGACTATACACATGGACTGTGGCCAAATCTCCTATGACAACAGCACACTCTCCCACAACCTGGAAGGCAGCCAGCCCAGGGCGCCACGCCTCCAGGGTCGCAGCCAGGTGGGCAGGCCTCGGCCTGTAACTGCCAGGTCCCCTCTTTTTGCTTTTATTTCTGGCAGTACTGGACTTCACACTAAGCTATGTCCCCAGCCTCTTTTGTTTTAATCTTTTTGAGACAGGATCTAAATGATTAAGTTGCCCTGGCTGGGCTTAAACTTGCAGTCCCCCTGCCTCAGCTTCCCAGTGTGCCTCAGAGTCCCTAATTTCTCCCCACCCAGGCAAAGCCTAATGGTCTTCTCAGACCTGTCATCTAAGGATTCGCCTTGCCCTGCCTTCGGGCCCGGAGCCTGCAGGCCTGGAGCACTGTCAGCCTGATGCTGGTCTTTCTCTTGGAGCGCGACTGCCCTGCCTCTGCGGCCGTGGGTCTCAGCCAGCCAGTGACTGGGCCAATGCCGCAGGAGCAGGACCCTGTCCTCCTTTGGACAGTCTTTGCCTTGCTTCCACTCTTGCAGGAAATAATGTCCTCTGGGTCTGGGTCCTGGGAAACTGATTATTCTATCAGTTGTTTTCGAGTTGTGTCTGCAAGGGACTCACAAAGGTTGACCATTTAATGGGTAGTGAAGACGACCACAGTGCATGTATAAATGGGCTTGTGAATAACAGTTCTGCCATGAGCTGAAATGTTTTTGTCTGTTGCTACTTGTGAGCGCATGGCTAGCCCTTCTTAGCAGCAATCAAAAATCAAAGGAACAGACCAAAGCTATTAAGGAGAGTTTTATTGTAAAGATAAAGATCTGCAGTTTCACATTTTCCCAAGTCTACAGAAACTCTCAGAGCAGAGACTTTTCATGTCTGTCGTACCAGCAGGCAGACTAGTTAGGAAGGGGGGCAGGGGCTTGTCACTTCCTGCTGAACTGCGGCAGTGGCGGCGGCACCTTGATGTCCTGGCCCCTCTCCAGCTTCTTCTCGCAGTCCACCAGGTAGTTCACTCCATCGATGACTATCTGGACCAACTCCACCTGGGCAGCAAAGGGAAGGAAGGATTAACGTGGGTTAAGGCACCTGCAGGGCTTCGGCTGACTGGAGCCACAGCGGGATGAGGAGGCTGGCTCTGGCCGGGTCTGTCACAGCCGCCTGCTCTGCACTGCTTCCCAATAGGTTGTGGGCGGAGGGCCATCGGAGGCCTTGGCCAGAGACAGGAGACCGAGGGATGAGGAGGGGCCTCTCAAGTTCTCCTCAGCTAAGGTGGGTCACTGCTCTGCGTGCGAGGACTCGTTCAGTATGCAAAAGCCTTCTGCCTCATCGCATGACCTCTGCCTCCATCTCTACAGGAAAACGCCGAAGTCTGTCTCAGAGCAGGGCTGCACAGGGACGCCTCAGCAGTGCTCTGCTCTGACCGCCGACGAGCTGCAAAGCCCGCCAGACACCGAATGTGCCAGAGCTTGGATCGCTCCCTGGTGTCTTTCTGGGGGGAAAAATTAAATACCATATTTGGCCATAATATCATGTCTTTCCTGTGCCACACAAATTTATTACTCACAGGAAACTTTGTGAATGATCGTAAGATATGGATTTGAAAATTCCTCTTTTAAACAAATACGTTCAAGTTTGGTTTCCATATATTGGCTTTAGGCAGCCTGATGTAACTTGAGGGTGAGCAGTAAAGGGCAGGGTCACTAAGAGCTGGAGCAAGGACAGACCTGAGGCTGACAGCATCCACGTCCCTCCCACGTCCTCTCAGAGAGGCCGCAGACAGTGTCCCCACGCCCAGGGGTGGGCCAGAGAGCAGCTGCGGGGGGGGGGGGGCGCTCCCACTCAGGTCCAGGGGCTGTCGTTGAACAAGTGTAACACAGTCTGGAAAATATCAGATGATGGGCTATCCTCATGCTGTGGGCATTAGAAGTCATGCCTTTGGGGTGGTAAGGGTTCCTTGGTTGGTGGATGTCGTGCTGTGCCTGCTGCGGTGCGGAGTTCACGCGCAGGACCTCACGCGAGTCGGGGCAGTGCTCTCCCACTGACCCACGCCTCCAGCTCCAAAAGCATTGTTTTGAAGAATATTTAATATTGTAGGCAAATGCTCAAGCGTTGGAGAAAAGTATATAATAAAAATTAGTGCCATAATAAGAAGTTTTAAAGTTCTCTGAATAATTATTTGAAAAGAGTAGAAAGCAATTTAGAGTAATATTCACAGTGGTCAGCACAACGGTTTGCTCCAAGCAGTGGTTAGATTAAGTAGTCGGCGTGCCCGCTGGCTGCGTTGTGGACGAGGCCACTTAGGGAGAGCTCTGTGCGCATGTGCTCACAGGTAGAAGACTGGCTGAGGGCAAAAGGGGTCTGAACACTCGCCGGAATCCTGCTCGGCCACCGAGGGGACATTTGAGTCACCTGTGGGACAATGGATTGCTCTCAAGGACAGGACACTAAGTGACAAGCAGCAGACGCGGAAGGCCAAGTGTCCCCTATGCAATTTAAGGAGCAAGATGAAATAGGCTTGACAGGAAGCTAGAGGCGAGGGCTGGTGAGATGGCTCAGTGGTCTAAAGCGAAGCCCAGAGACCACGGTTCAATCCCCCAGCACCACATGCCAGCCAGGCTGCCCCGTGGTGGGCTGAGCTGGCCACACACACACACACACACACA